CCCCCCCCCTGACTCACAGCAAGCCCCCAGGCCCACAGTGGCCACCAGCAGCAGCAGGCAGGTTGCCAGCAGCCCCATACGGAGGCCCCACTGCCAAGACCAGCATCCTGCAAAAGACAACCGACCACACATCACCTGGCGAGCCGGGAAACCCCCGGCAGCCCTCAGACCTCCTGCCTTGCAGGCAGCGGAGTGGTGCCATGCTGGCACAGGTGGCACAGTGTGAGCTCTTCTTCTCTTTAAGGATGGGAGCAGGAGCATCCTGAAACACCACCCATGCTAGAACCTCCTTGGATCCCCTGGGCTCCAGCCGGGCACTCACCTGGGCTAGCCTGGGCCCCGTCCCCGTCCCCATCCTGCCCTGCCGGTGCTGGCTGCGTGTTCTCGTAGGGGCTCTCCGCCTCATCCATGCCGAGGGCTGTTGGAGGAAGGCAGGGGAGAGCAGCTGAGCCCACTGGGCTGGGCACAGCAAGAGCAGCGTGGGGCATCTTGCGTCCTCTCACCTGCCTCCAGCGCCTGGCTGGCCATGCTCCGGACCTCCATCACCTTGGTGAACCTCAGGTCAGCATAAACCACGCTCTGGGCCATGTGGGCAAGCGCTGGGCAAGCCCTGAGCCCTGCTGACTTCCACCCTGCCTTTGGGATGCCTTTCTGGGATGGTCCTGCTGGCCGGTGACTGCGTCGTCTCTTGGGGTGCAAAGGAGAAGTGTGGTCAGCGTCTGCAAAAGCAGAAGTTTGCTTTGAGCTGTAGCAGATGGGACCAGCGAGGCACAACTGCGGGGACCAGCACTCTCTTCATTGGTCCCAGCATCACCGGCTTGTCCCCTCCCACGCCCCAAAAGTGCTCATGGTCCCCCCAGGCACGCAGCAGGGCCAGGATGGCACGGCCTGTGGTCAGGGCAGTGGTAGAGCAAGAATGGACCCAAATCTCTTGTCCATGAGATAGCTGAGGGAGAGCAGGACCAGCCTGGACAGAGGAGCATGTTGCCCCAGGGACAGCCCTGTGGAGGGCTGGAATTCTTCATGGATGCAGCTTTCCCCTTCTGACTTCTGGTAATGGGAATTTCCTCTATGATATAGCTTGTGCCGCTGCCTCTCGTCCTCTCCCTGGTCCCCTCCTAGAAGACCCCGGCTTCAGCATCGCTCCAAGCACCCCCCAGAGATTTGCATAGAGCAATGACACCCACTTTGCCTTCTCTTCCACAGACTACAACACCAGCAGTCACAGCATCTCCTCCTGGGTCCCAGCACCCAGCCCCTCAGCATCTCAGAGGTCTCTGTTGAACTTTCCCGAGAAAGGCAGGTTTCAGAAGGGGCACTGAGCTGGGGACAAGCTGGGCACATCTGGACACAGCCAGCTCCTAGGACAGGACTGGAGGTGTACAAGGGTGCTGGTGGAGCACAGCATTGCAAGGCCACTCTGCATCATATCTAGAAGAGCAGGGTAAGTCCTCCATCGCTGGAGAAAGGCAAAAATCATGGCCAGCTTCAAAGGGGGCAGGAAGGAGGTTTGGAAAGCTAAAGGTTGAGCAGCTTCCGCACAATCTCCAGGAAGAAGATGGAGCACATTCTCCTGGGATCGCAGTGGTCCAGGGCCAGGGAGGACATGGTGGTGACTGTGGGGAGTCCAGCGGGATTTTCCAAGGGCAAGTGGCCCCTGCGCGACCTGCCTGCCTGCTGCTGTGGGAGCACTGGGCTGGGGACAAAGGGAGAGCAATAGGGGCCATTTATCATCACCCTCTGAGGTCTGGGACATGGTCTCCTGTGGTCTCCTTGCTGGCAGAGTGGGGAGATGTGGCCAGGAGAGGGGAGAAGAGCAAGAGATCAAGCAGCCATATGGACACTCCTTTTATGCATTAAGGCAAACATTTCTGCACCGCAGCAATGCTCAAAGCACGGAGCAGAGCACAGAGAGGGCAAACCTCCATCCAGGATGGCGCCAGCCCCAGAGCCACCTGTTCCCACACGGAAGCCAGCTCCGCTCTCCCCTGGCCCAGGGATTTGGGTCAATTCTCAGTAGACTGAGCCACGCAGCTCTGCCCAGCACCCCAACCCTGAGCTGCACCGCCCCACTGCCATCCCAGGGGACCCTGAGCAGTTTCGGGGCGTGGAAGGGGACAGGATGGAGATGCCAGGGCCAATGGCAGAGCGCCGGTCCCCGTGGCTGTGCTTTCCAGCTCCCGTCCACTGCACACCACAGCAAACTTCTGCTTCTGCAGAAACCAGCTGCACTTCTCCTTTGCAGGGGGCGGGCCCAGCCGAGCAGGAGCCATCAGGGCCATCAAGGCAGCACAAGGCATGGCTCAAAGCGTGGTCTACGCCGACCTGAAGTTTGCCGTGACCCCCCCGCTCACCACCCCCGC